TACTTCAGACGTTGTCATCATGGTAATGCATGGCAGGTAGGACTTGGAAGAGCAAAACAGTGGACCACTATTCACCTCTAAGTAATTATGTGCATAGAAGTCCCAAGTCTTTGGTTTTTTTCATCTCACAGCCACAAGTCAGCAGTGCTCATTTAGGGGAGTGCTGGTTAGTTCCCTACTCCATGGCCAGCTTAACAGAAGTTATAGTCATCTGGAAAGAGGGAACTTCAATTGAGAAATGCCTCCATAAGATTGACATACAGCACATACAGTGCTGTAATCCCAGCACTCAGGGAGTCAGAGGCAGGTGGATCCCTGTGAGTTTGAGGCCAGCCTGGCCTACAAAGTGAGTCTAGGACAGCCAAGGCTACACAGAGAAACCCTGTCTCAAAAAAACAAAAACAAAAAAAAAAAAAAGGCTTGACCACAGGGCTGGAGAGTTGACTCGGCAATTAAGTGCATTTGTGTTAAGTGCATTGTGTTAAGAGGATCCGGGTTTGATTCCCAGCACCTACACAGCTTACAACCACATATAACTCCAGTTTCAGGGGTTAGATTCTCTCTTCTGGGCCCTGCAAGCACTGCACACAGGTGGTGCACAGACAAATGGAGGCAAAACACCACACACTTAAAATAAATTAATAATAAAAATAAAATCAAGGGCTGGAAAAATGGCTCATCAGTTAAGAGCACTGGCTCCAGAGGTCCTGAGTTCAAGTCCCAGCACCCACATGGTGGCTCACCACCATCTATAATGGGATCTGATGTCCTCTTCTGGTGTATATATGGAGCACTCATATACACAAAATAAATAAATCAATCTTACTGACCATCAACGCGTGAATTAGACATCTAGGTAAAAAGCTATAAATGTAAGAACATTACAGCATACAGCTTTTGTTTTGGATTCAAGGTTGAAGGCTATTTCTCAGTGGAGAACACACATACAGTATTTATGAGGTCCTGGGTCTGCTCCCTAGCACCAGAAAAACTCCAATTCCAGAGGATCAGATATCTGATGCCCTTTACTGACCTCCACTGACACCAAACACCCCCACCAACCCTCACCAGAGGAACTAATGTGCACATGCACGCGCATACATATACAGGCTAAGTACCAATACACAATGTGAAATAAATCTAACAACACAACAGGCTGAGGCGGCACGGTGACACACCTGTAATCTTAGCACTTGGGAAGGTGAAGGAGGAAAATCATCCTTGAATTGGGCTACAAAGGAAGCTCTGTCTCAAAAGCAAATACCATTATTTCCCATTCCCCTTTCCTTTCTAACCCTTAATGATCTTGTGGCTTGTTGAAATTTGATGAAGCAGGTCTATGGGGTCTTGGTATGTATAGTTATTTTTTTTTAAATTTATTTTTACTTTATGTGCATTGGTGTTTTGTCTGCTTGTATCTGTGTGAGGGTGTCAGATCCTCTGGAACTGGAGTCACAGACAGTTGTTAGCTGCCATGTGGGTGCTGGAAATTGAACTTGAGTCCTCTCAAAGAGCAGCCAATGCTTTTCACCATTGAGCCATCTCTAATGGTTTTGACACATTCAAAATGATTTTGACTTGTCATTTCTTATGTATCTCTCTCTCTCTGAGACAGGTTCTCACTGTGTAGACGAAGATGGCCTTGAACTCAGAGACCCACCTGTTTCTCTCTTCTAAGTGGTGGGATTAAAGGCACACTACAGGGGCTGGAGAGATGGCTCAGAGGTTAGGAGCACTGACTGTTTCTTCCAAAGGTCCTGAGTTCAGTTCCCAGCAACATGGTGGCTCACAACCATCTGTAATGAGATCTGGTGCAGGTGTACATGCAGACAGAAGAATGTATACATAATGAATAAATAAATATTAAAAAAAGGCACACTATACATTTAAATCTTTTAAATAGCATAAAACAAAACAAATAAAACCTTATATAACCCACCAAAATAATGTCTTTAACTGATCAGATATTTATTTTCTTTTGAGACAGTGTCTCACTATGTACCTCTAGATATTCTGGAGCTCACTATGTAGACCAGGGTAGCCTGGAACTCACAGAAATACACCTGCCTCTGCCTCTTGAGTGCTGGGATTAAAGGCATATGCCACCATATCTGTCCTTTTCAGATTTTAAAAAAATATTTATTTAGTCATTTTTATTACATGTATCTGAATTTTTGCCTGTATGTATGTCTGTATACCAGACGTGCACTTGGTGTCCCTGGAGTCCAGAAGAGGGAATCATCTCCCCCTGAGACTTGTGTTACAAACAGTTGTGAGCCACCATGTGGGCATTGAGAATCAAACGCAGGTCGTCTGGAAGAGCAGCCTATGATCTCAACTACTGAGCCATCTCTGCAGCAGACACTAAAGTCAAATCCTTAACAACTTACTTTTGAAAAATGTACTTTTTTAGCGGAGAACTTACCTAAATTCTATGAAAGATGGGTTTGTAACTAACTCAAAAACTTTTTTCCTGTCTGTCTGTCTATCTATCTATCTATCTACCTACCTACCTACCTACCTACCTACCTACCTAGAAACTTAGACTTAAACTTAGAAACTTTTAAGAGCAGACATTTTGGGAATGTGAATCTGTAACAATAGTATTTTCTGTGTAGTACAATTATAAGTAACCAAAGTATGCCCTTCTACATTCTGTATTCTTTGTCTCACGTGTAGGACTCATTTAACAGGAAAGAGATTGACATGTTTTCCTAAAGTTGTAAGTTGTATACATTACTGTAACTATGCTAAATGGTGCAAAGTTACAGCTGACAAAAATTCATTTCTTAAGCTGACTTCAGTTATGTAAAAGTCTTTTGTTTTAAAGAGAGGGGCTCAAAATGGAGCTTACTATGTAGACAAGGCTGGCATCAAATTCACAGAGTTCCTCCTCCTTTTGCCTCTCAAGTACTAGGACCAAAGGCATTTGCCATCACTACTGGCTAAAAATGTGTGCATGTCTATGTATGGGAAAATGTGCACGATTCATGCTTAGGTACTTTTCCATTGTATAGTCTGTTTGCTTAATGGTGTGGCAGATGGTCCCTTTAAAGTTTATGACATTGATGATTCTGTTTTGTGAAAATATTTTATGTATGTATATATGTGAATGCTTACACCACTGATCTTTATTCCTAACACAATACTTTGACCAGATACAGGCACAATACTGAAGAGTGGCCATATCCTTCCAAGCGTAAGAGCTCATACTGTTGTGAAGAAAAAAAAAAAAGCAAACTTTCTGGTTCCCACATGTAAACTATGAAAAAGAAAAGGGAAGAATATATCAGTGTGTGCACTCACAAAAAACTACTCAAAGTACTATTGTTTTCCTTTTAAAGGAAATTTTCAGGTTATAAATGGTGGACACCAAGACTGAATATTGATGTTTTGTTTCAAGTTGTTTTTAACATTTTTATCAGAACAATATTCAGATCTGTGACAAACGCAAAAATAAAAGTTATGTACAGAATGCAGAGAGCAAAATAATTTAGACATGAAGTAATTTATCTTTGCATGACTATAAGGTTCAAGACCTGGGAAATGCAGCTTACCACATAAAGGATTTCACCACAAGAAATCAATTATTTCAAAGCTGGTAAAACTTCAGTATCAATTCTACCCTTTCTTCTTCTTTTATCTCCCACCCCCTGAAGGTTTCTCTGTGTAGCCTTTGCTTTGTAGAACCAGGCTGGCCTCGAACTCACAGAGATCTGCCTGCCTCTGCCTCCCCGAGTGCTGGGATTACAGGCATGCGCCACCATGCCCAGCTTCTTCTTCTTCTTCTTTTAAACAGAAACTACAGGTAGGTTGATAATTTAAAAAAAAAAAAAATTTAGTATAAACTGGACTACTACTATGCTTACCTTACAGCTTTAAAAAACTGATTTCTTGTGTGTTTCAGTGGTGAGCTGCATTTCCTGAGTGTCAGCCGACTTCCCAGCAGGAATTCCAGTCTGATGAAGAATCAGCCAAAGGAAGTCCTCACTGAGAGACACAATGGTATCATTCACTGAGTGGAAACAGTGAAAGAGTAACATATTTCTAAAGGGAATTTACATTAGTAATACATGTGCTTTCATAGCAACTTACAGAAATACACGCTTATCTTCCCATGCTGGAAGGAGTAAGTAATTTTCCTCAAAACCCTGACTTTTTCTATAAAGCATTTGGTTTTACAACCTGCTAGCCCATCTCTGGGACGTTTCAGAAATGCTTCATCGCCTTCCTAAACACAAAACAAAATGGTTTGAAGTCTCAACCTGAGCAATTGTGATGGCACATGTTCTAGCAGCAGCTCTGGGTGAAAAACAAAATAATCCTTCATAGTCCTTTGTCTAACTTCTATCAGCTGGAGTCGGCCACTTCTCACAGTGAAAAACACCTGGAAATTTTGCTTCACCTACATCGAAGTAATTCTGCTAAACAAAATTTTCAAATGAACTTTTAACATATTATATAGAAACAAAGAATCTATAGATAATAGTTCTAGACACTATGACTTAGAATATTTCTTTAAAAAATACTGAAATATGGAGCTGGAGATGGCTCAGTGTGAAAAGCAGTGGCTGCTTTTTTAGAGGACTTGAGTTCTTTCCCCCAGCACGAATATGGCAGCTTATAACCATCTCTAACTTCCAGTTCCAGAGGTTATAATGCCCTCTTCTGGCCTTCAGGGGCAACAGGGACATATATGATACAGAGGTACATGTGAAGACAAAACATCCATACCAAAAAGAATTTTTTCCTGAAATACATACTTTTTACTGGTTATTCTGAATTATAGTTTATTGCACTTATTAAGACTGGATGTCAATAGAGTACTAGTTGCTCCATGGACACATCTAAACTTAATTAAAATAAGATTAAAACATCAACTCCTCAGTCACATTAACAATACTAGCATTGTATAATTATGACACACAGCTAGTGGGAAAAATTTTAATGCATAGCATTATTCTAGACAGAGAGATGGTTGTTACCGTCAAAGGCCGTACCTGGTCTGAGGAGGTGTGGGTGTGTAACCGGGCTGGGCTGGCCTAAGTATCGGTTTGGAATCTTCTCTGGCACAGGCTGGAGGGAGTATCTTCGCTGTAAACATGACATGCATCCTGAAGAAAAAACAAGGACGAAATGGAACAGAGGCTAGGGCCATCTTCACATAATGCATTCTTTAATCCAGTCCTAGAAGTTTGGATCCTTACAGAATATACATTAAAATTTCTTTCCTCCTCCTTCCAATATGTATGTAGCTCTTTATGCTAGAGCTGTATTGGGACCTAAGAAACAGACTTTTGCCTACTACAGTTTAACGAACACAAACACAACACAGTTATGAATAAGGAGCTATTATGAGGAAGAACAAGTAAAAGCAAAGAAGGGTCAGAAAGGAGTTCAGTGGGAACACGAGGCTGTGTTCTAAAACTTAGAAAACTAGAATGAATGTTTTTATTAAGACTATGTTAGCTATAAGGAAACAAGTACTTACAATCTCATTTAATCTTAGATTGTTAGACTGATAAAATAATGTATGAAAGGTGCTTACTCATAGCTGATAGACGTGAGTATGGTTAGCATTAATTTAACCAAACTGCACTGGTGCATTCTCTTGTGTTCTCCCTGCCTCAAGGCTGGACTAGCCTACATTGTGAGGTCTAAGATAGCCATGGCTACATAGACTCTATCTCAGAAAACACAAACAAATGAGTTATCAGAACCAGACACTTAGAAAAGCAATTTGTAAAAGGTTACACAGCATTGAATAAAATGAGATTCAAATTTAGGATTAAATTTAAAATCTCTGGACTTATTCTTCCACACTATGGTTAGACATACCCTATCACACTCCTGATGTGCAGACTTGCTCACGCCTGTTCTTGTATTCTGACCTCCAGAACAGAGAGAAACAAACCTCTGTGGTTAAAGCTGCAAAGTTCATGGATTTTTTTTGTGGCAGCCTCAGAGACTAATGCAATGACTCCCTAAGCCTTTAAGGCACTGACTGATAACTGGCCGCACTTAATACAAATCTATGAAACCACTCCCTTCTCCCCCCACCTGGGACAGGGTTTCTCTGTGTAGCCTTGGCTGTCCTGGAATTCACGACCACATATGGCTGCCTCTGCCTCCCAAGTGCTGGGACTAAAGATGTGTACCACCACTGCCCGGCTATGTCTCTGCTTTTAAATCAGGCCCAGGAAGAAAAAGAGAGCAAGTGCTGAGTAATTTTTAAGATTTTTTTTTTTTTAGAAAGGCTTTCTCATTTGTTTTTGAGAACATAAAGGTAATAATTTGAGATACCACATTTTCTCAAGTTATTTTATGCATTTTAAAGTTGTTTTTTCGAGACAGGGTGTGCCTACATAGCCCTGTCTTAGAACTCATTATATAGATCAGGCTGACCTCAAACTCATAGAGATCCACCTGCCCCTGCCCCCCAGTTGCTGAGATTAAAGGTCACCAGAGTGTAGCCAGTATTTTATACATTAAAAAAAATGTTGAACTTACCATTTTATTTTTTTAAGATTTACTTATGTATACAATGTTCTGTCTGCATGTACACCTACATGCCAGAAGAGGGCACCAGATCTCATTATAGATGATTGTGAGCCACCATGTGGTTGCTGGGAATTGAATTTAGGACCTTTGGAAGAGCAGTCAGGGCTCTTAACCTCTGAGTCATCTCTCCAGCCATTTATGCATTTCTTATACTCTTGTTATTTAGTTTTTCAGACAGGGTCTTCCTCTTAGTCCAGGCTGGGCCTGGAACCCTCCATAATACTCCCATCTCAGCCTTCTATGTTGGGATTATAGGCATGAACTACCTTAGCCATTTTGTATCCCATTACAATCGAAGCATCATGAAAATTGGTGCTTCCGCTACCAGCAGAAACTAAAGGTGTCTGGTACAAAAGAGCCTTTGTATATTGATACATAAATGTACAGCTTTCAAGATCTTTACTCACATTTTTTTTCCTTCTAGAAACAGGGCCACATTATGTAGTATGGGGTAAGTGGCTTTTGCCTGGGGTATTACAATAAACATTGAGTAGGAACAGACCCTCCCATCTCTAATGATTCACTGCCAGTAGAAAGCCAGTAGTAAGCCAATGACTCCAGCAAATCTTTGCTGAGACCATGAACCAGGGCACCTCTCACACAACTAGTTTATCCATCTGGTGTATTTTCCATCGTAGTTCTTACTGTAACTACTTATTTATATCTTCTATTGAATGTATGTCTTTTGACAAGAACAAATGTGAGTTTTAGGATAGCCAGAGCTACACAGTGAGAGCCTGCCTCAAAAAACCAAACCAAACAACCGGAAACAATGAACTATGCGCTAATTAAGGCTCAATAATACGGAGGTTAGAATATCTAAAAGGAATGCTGCGGCCATTAGCAACAGCTTGCACCAAGTAACATGGGAGAAACTGCACTTGGAGGACCCAATCCCTACCTCTACCCCAGTATGACACCATAATGCAGCCCTGACATATACATGTCCCTCTGCTCGCCACACAACCAGAACCCTCAAGTCTGTCAGCAGCCCACAGTACAGTACTAACATTTCCTTCAAAGCAAAAATGTGCCTATTTGTAGTCACTTCTACCACCGCCAGCAGCAACAGAGCCTGAGCCAGAGGGGGAACAGTGCTCACTTCCAACGGTGCTTGTTTCTGAAACTGTCAAACCATGGTGGACTACTATGCCACTCTAGGAGTGCAGAGATATGCGTCACCAGAGGATATTAAAAGAGCATACCATAGAGTGGCACTTAAATGGCATCCTGATAAAAATCCAGAAAATAAAGAGGAAGCAGAGCAAAAATTCAAAGAAGTCGCCGAGGCCTATGAAGTATTATCAAATGGTGAAAAACGGTCCATGTATGACAAATATGGCAAGGAAGGATTAAATGGCGAAGGTGGAAGCCGTCTTGATGACGAACGTGAGTACAGTTTCACATTCTGTAAGGCAGATGACGTTTTTAAAGAATTTTTAGGTAAAAGGGATCCATTTTCATTTCACTTCTTTGAAGACCCACTTGAGGACCTTTTAAGAAGTTCAAGAAACTCCAAAGGCAGCAGCAGGAGAGGCGCAGGATCCCATTCCTATGACCACCCCTCAGTGTTTGCCAGGCTTTCTTCTTATGATCCGGAATATTCGTCTTATGTTTCACTGGGGTACAAGGACCTTACTTCATTCTCTTCCCTGGCATTTGATGAGACTGGGGTGGGCAATTACTTCCCCATGACACCTTCAGGCAAATTTGTTAATGGAAGACATATTAATATAAAGAACGCTTTTGAGAACCTCCACCTGAGAGAAGCTGAAGATGATGGTGGGCTGAGATCCTTTCTTGAAAATAGTATGTCAGAGGAAGAGGGCTTTGCAGAAAAATGTAACTGGAGGAGACACTTCAACAATTACTCACCAAATTACTACAGCCCTCCAAATATACCTCAGTATACTCTTGTGGAGAACAATGAGCAAGGTACGCCTTGGGTCGCCAGCAAGAAGGACCCTTCCATTTTCTCAGCAGGATTTAAAGAAGGTGGTCGGAGGAAAAAAAAGCACAGAGAGGGGCAGAAGAAGAAGTCAAACAAAAGGAATAGCTAATTGACTCTAGACACATTATCATATAACATTTGAACACCACCCTTTTGTGTGTTTTGGTTAATCAAAGAGTTTTATGGATAACACTTATGACTATGTAAGATTAGGTGGGTGTTTTGCTTTGCTTCTCTGTTTTTGAGACAGGGTCAACTATGTAGCCCTAGCTAGCTTGGAGCTTGCCAAGGAGACAAGGCTGGCCTCAAACAGAGATCTGCTTATCTCTGCCTCTCAGGTACTGAACCCGAAGATATGCACTACCTTGAGTGGGTCCTCCCCCCAACCCCGCCCAAGACAGGCTTTCTCTGTGTAGCCTTGGCTATCCTGGAACTCACTTTGTAGACCAGGCTAGCCTCCAACTCACTCCAATCCCGAGTGCTGGGATTACAGGTGCACACCACCATGCCCAGCAGAATTTTTTTTTAAATAATATTTTTTAACAGGATTGTGGACATTTGGTCAGCAGTTGTACGAATAAGTTATGCCCGAAAAGATGAATGTGTGGTAACTGACTTCAAACTATGGAAAACCCCGCAAAGTTTTTTTTTTTCTTTTAATGTTTTGTTTCTGAATGGTTTGAACATAGAATTTTTCCTCCAGTGGAGTTTATGATCTATTTAATTTCTTTAATTAATACTGTCACAAATTTCTTGTTAATGTACACAGCATTAGGTGATAAAATCTATTATAAAACACAGGTTCAGACTTTACCAAGTATTTTAAATTTGAAATAACCAGACATATTTGCCCAGATATTCACCAGCTCTATTCATAGAACCCAAGAGGTGGAAGGAACCCAAGCACTCAAGAGACGAAGTTATTAACAAAAATTGATGAGTCACACTTGTGTGCATTCATGCTCATGCATGCAGTCTCAGAAACAAAACAAAATAAAACAAAAACCCTGCCACACTGTCTGCCTCTGTGGCTCAGTTGTTTGAGCAAACAAACAAAAACCTTGTCATTTGGTTCAACATGGATGAGCTTTCCCAATAATTGGAATACTAAAATCTTAAACTGCAAAGTGAAATAAGCCACGCACGGACAAATAATGTTCACATAGCATCTAAAGCAGTCCAAACAGAGACAGGAAGTGAAAAAGAGGTTGTTTGGTGGCTAAAGAGCTTCAGACCTGAAAAAGAAAAAATTCTGGAATCCCACATCTCAATAATGTGTTATAGTTAATACCATTGAACTGCACATTAAAAAAATGTCTGATATGTGAACTAAATTTAATGTGTATTATGCCACAGTTAAAAAAAAAAAAGGCAGCATTTCTGGGTGTGGTGGCGTACACCTTTAATCCCAGCACTCAGGAGGCAGAAGCAGGCCAATCTCTTGTGAGTTCAAGCCATCTTGGTCTACAGAGTGAGTTTCAGGACAACCAGGGCTACACAGAGAAACTGTCTTTAAAAACAAAAACAAACAAACAAAAAAGCCAGTATTACCCAAGATTACTTCAAACAACCTGGATATATCACGTGTTGCAATCCACCACCCTCTTGAGATATAAACCTTTTTAGTTTCATCTTGTTTGAATGTACGATCTAGAAATGGGTTACTGTAAAACAGCTGTAGCTATTCCATTTAAGGATCATGTTGGGAGAGAACAGTGAGTTACAAATACATTAGATGCCAAACAAATGTTTTGAGCTAAATATTAATTTCAAAACTGTTAGTTCTTAGTTTTCTGTAACGCTTTCATCTTCATAACCTTTTATTCATCCTTTCATTCACTGAGCACTATTTGAGGGCCTACTATTTGCTGAGCATTGTTAGGGTTTTTTTTTTTTTGGGGGGGGGGGTGGGTGTTGAGGGGGACTGGGTTTCTCTGTATAGCCCTGTCCTAGAAATCACTTTAGAGACCAGGCTGGCCTCAAACTCAGATATGCCTGCCTCCCAAAAGGTGTATGGCATCACCGCCCATCCAAGTGTTAGGTATGTGAGGTATATGCAGCACTAAGCAAACAAAAGCCATAGTCTACAAACTGAAGATAGATAATAAATGAAGGAAAATAGGATCTGCTGGTGATTTTTAGTTGCTTGATTAAAAAGATAGCCAAGTGGATACTTAGTGAGATAACTCCAGCTATGTGGACTAGCAAGGTGCAGTGCTCCTAATGTTGGCTGCATGAGAGGAGCGTGAGGAACACTGAGATCAGTGCCTCAAATTAAGGATAGCAAATGGATGATGCCAAACGATGAGAGGAAGCAGATTCTGCCGAGACTGCTTGATCACCACATGCATGGTTACTGCTACACAGGAGAAACTAAGCCGGAGAAGGTTTTGAGGAGGAATCACATATTGAAATTGGCCTCCTCTGTTGCTGCCAAAAGACTCAAGCAAGGTTAGAAAAAAGGAATCAAACTATGGCCACAATCCATTTAAGAGATTATAGTTCAAGGTGGTGGCAATGGGTGTGTACGTGAGTAACAGTGATAGCATTAGGATATTCTGGACAGGACACACTGACAGAGTATGACAAGAGTTAGGGCCAACAGTTTTTGGACCACAGGAAATAGAAGCATGGAACTGTCTTAAGTGAGACAGGAGGGAGGGTCTAAGTTTTGGAAATGTTACATGAGGGATGCTTGGCTTTATTAAGACTGAAAACAATGTGCTATAGGACTTGAGCTTATACACTGTCATTAAGTTCTTCCTTAGTAACATTTACTGGCAACATATATTCTTTTTTAAGATTTATTTTTATTTTATTATGTGCATTGGTGTCTGGTGCATGTATGTCTGTCAGATGCCCTGGAACTGGAATTACAGATGGCTGTGTGGGTGCTGGGAATTGAACCCTGGTCCTCTGGAAGAAGAGTGACTGGAAGTCAGTTAACACTCTTAACCGCTGAGCCATCTCTCCAGCCCCTTTTCTTTTGTATTTTAGAAATATAATTATCATCAATTCCAGGCATTATTAAGATGCTAGTCTCAAATTCCTGTAAATCACTGTATTAAAGGGTTGCAAGCAAATCACCCAGCAGCACTAAAACCAATTATTTTGTCCAAATAAGTACTAAACTGAAAGCCAGAAACAAATATAGTACCTACTATTTTGAGATGACTACCATAGCAAATGTGAGCTTTTGTTTTGTACTGTCTCAGTGGGTAGGTATGTAGGGAGGAAAGGTAATTTATTCTTTAGGAGAAAACAGGGACAATTAATATCCAAATTTATTTTTCAGAAAATAAAATCATAAAAGCTTAGGGTATTTTAAGTGGCATTTACATAAAATGTGTCATTTATATGATTAGCTGTCTTCACGAAAGATTAAAGTTGAAAAGAAAAATCCATTTCCAGAACCAAAAACCCAGTAAGAATGCCCTCATATGTCCCCTAATTTGTCTCTCCATTTTTCTTTGAGCTGGACTGCATGTAGCCCTGGCTGACCTTGAACTTGCTATGAATTCAAGGATGAAGACGAACTTCTGATCCTATTTTCTAAACAATGGGATTACAGGAATGTGCTACAACATCTGGCCATTCACTCACCTTTAACTAAAAATCAGATTTAATTCTCTTTCCCAATAGCTTAATCTTTTTTTTTTTTTCTTTTTAAGACAGGGCATAGCTTGGCTGTCCTGGAATTTACAGAGATCCACTTGCTTCTGCCTCCCCAAGTGCTGGGATTAAAGTCGTGTGCCATGACATTCTAATTGTTTCTTGATAGAACATACATGGTCTTTGCTGAGCCAAAGCTCATCTTTTTCCATAGTATGCCCAGGAATACCAGTCCAAGGTTTACCACAGGAAAGAGGGCTCAATGGACAAAAATACATTTGCCAATCACTGCTAAATGTATCATTTCCCTTTTAGAATTTAAGACTAACTGGGAGTATACAGACTGCAGCTTATGCATTTGACCAAATAATCATTTTTTAAAAAGATTATTTATATAGTACTTTGCCTGTATGTATGCCTGCACACTGGAGGAGGGCACCAGATTTCATTATAGATGGTTATAAGCCACCATATGGTTGCTGAGAATTAAACTCAGAACAGCCAGCACACTTAACCTCTGAACCATCTCTCCAGCCCCCAAACAATCATTTTGGCATAAATACCATAAAATGCTCAGGAACATTAAAAAAAAAAATTCCCCATCCGTATCAAGTGAAAATGTTTAGTACCACCACTGTTCTTGGTTGTTCTGTGGTCCTGACAATGTTTGCTGTCAGGATGACTCTCACAATCTGCTTTGTGAGACCCTCAAGTCTTAAAATCCAATCTCTTAAAGGTGTGCCTGCATTTCCCTCTCTATCTCTGCTTATTATATCCTCCTTCAACATAGAACCTTTATTTCATTAGCACATTTAGTAAGCTACACCACAGTTATTTGCCTTTTTATCTGCCCAAGAGAAACTTTTTAGTGTTCAAATTTGGTACTCATGTTTAAGTTAATTTCCTTTTCTATGTCAGATTTAACATGTATCTTAAATGCCTTAATTTGAAAAATGCATTTTTGTTTTGTTTTTTGAGACAGGGTTTCTCTACGTAACAACCTTGGCTGCCCCAGAACTCTCAGAGCTCCAGGTGCCTCTGCCTCCTGAGTGCTGGGATTAAAGGCATTCACCGTCACAGACGATTGAAAACGCAACTTTTAAATATACAATTAGTAGTTTATTTTGCTTCTTAGATGACTAGCAGCATATTCCATCTCATAAAATCTTTCAACCAACTAGACCTTAAATGAGTAACATTTGCAGGGCTAGAGGTGTGTCACTCAGTGGTAGAGTCAGTGCTTACCTGTGACAAGCTCCAGGTTCAATTCCCGTCACCCATAACCAACTGGACAACAGGCACAAAAACAAACAAAAATCCAAACAAAACGAAAAGATCCCAACCCCCTCAGCTACCCTGACTTCATATACGAATGCCTTCCTCAGGTGAGAAAAACTTTTGTTTGTTTTTGTTTCATTCAATCTTTTTTTGAGACAGGCTTTTATTTATGTAGTCCTGGCTGTAGTGGAACTATGTAGACCATGCTGCCCTCAAATTCCGAGATCCACTTGCCTCTGTGTCTCTAGTGCTGGGATTGAAGCATGTACCACCACACCTAGGTTATAAGGTTTCTTATAGTAAGTAGCCAGTATTCCTTACCTAGGTTATAAAGTTTCTTATGGTAGTCAGTATTCCTTATCTAGAGCAGCAGCTCTCCCTCAGCCTGGGTCATGACCCCTTGGGAGGGGGTTGAATGATTCTTTCACAGGGGTTGCATATCAGATATTCACGTTACAGTTCATGACAGTAGCAAAATTACAGTTATGAACTATCAATGAAAATTATTTAATCTTGATCTTTCTAAAGAAGGGCAACCACATGTAGCTGGGGAGGGAGGTTCTGGGAGGAGTGAATGATGAAAAGACACTATATGAAAGCCTCAACAAAAATATATTTAAAAAAAAAAGAGTAACCAAGAACACTACAGATATTCTAAACCTATTAATGAGAAACTCAAAACCTAAACTTCAAGGATAACACAATACTTACAATGCAAAAAATCCGTTCCTATCTTTCCTAAGTTCCCATACCACTTGGGTCAAGACTAATCACTGAGACATAATGTCATTTCTTGCTTGTCTTCTTCCCTTTCTTGACTGTGAGCAACTGTGGTGAAGTAGAGAATGCAGCCACAATAACTACTAACTCAAAAGTTACTGGATAAAATTGCACTTTTTGGCTCATGAAATGAGGTTGCAAAAGCACTCTACCAAGCAGAATTAGGGCTTAGAATTGGGATAAAAGACTGGACACAATCATGTAGCAAACATCTGGTTTAATTGTGTCTCAGTTCTGCACTGGTAAACTGAAGATTCAATGTCGCTCTTTCATTAAGCTAAAAACATTTAGTGGTAATTTAACTAGATGCTGAACTTACTTTCCTTAGAAGCAACACATAGTAAATTTACAAGTCTTTTATATATTTTTAGTTCAGTATCTAGTCCTAAAGCTGGACCAAGTCAGGATTTACACAAGCTTCAGGAAAGTCAAAGAAGCAAAAAGCTGGTTCTAGCCACAGCTTGTGATTATAATTGATGGGTCGCACATTTTCATTCATTCCCATCAAAGGCACAACTTAACTATTAGGATTACAGAACAGAGAGCTAACAAAGTAATTCATTATTAGCAGCGAATCCAAGTATCACACACACACGCCAAGACAAATTTTGATGTCAAATATCCTATTTTCTGGTTCACATTTTGCATACCTCATCTAAAATATAATCCAATATTCGATCCCCTTGCAAGGCTGATGACTCATCTTTTCAGGATAAAGATCTGTTACATTAACTGCTCACCACACTGCACACGGAGGGTTCACATTCCCCGGGGCTCTATCACCTTGACTGTTGATAAGACTTTTAGGCACGTCCCCCGTCTACTACTTTATAATCTCAACTGCATAAAGCACTTGTTCCTGAGCGTGTTTCTTCTATCTTTTGAGCCAATTCTATGACAATTTGAAAACCCAAAACATTTTACTTTGCCCTAACAAAAAAACAAAACAAAAAAAAAAAAAAAAAAACGGTACTTGACATAAGACACTTCAGCCAAGTGTGATGATAAAAGACACGATATTTTGAATTCGAGTAACTCTGAAGACAGTCCCTCGGAGTTCCCTTCTCTTCAGAGACTTCAGCTCCCCAGAATAACAGAACCTTAAGCCCACTCTTTCCCAGAGTAACCCGGTCAATTAAAAAAAAAAACACAAATAAGACTCCGTTGGGGCCCCAGGAGCCGACTGGTCGGAGAACCAGGGATCATCAACTTGTAGCTCTTTGGGCTGCTTTAGGCTTCTCCAAGGGAAGACCTGAAGGGGACGCCGGCGGGAAAGAATCTAACCTGAGAGGCTGCGGAGCCTTGCTATGGCGGGAACCAGCTTGGGGACTGAGAGCAGGGAAGGCATGGCCAGGACCCACGCGTCAGGAAGAGAGAGTACAAACTGCGGGGAAAGAAGCCGCCAGCGCTGCCGCGTCGCCAGGAAACCAGCCAACAGCCCCGCCCCTTCCGGCAGACGCCTCTCGCGGGCTTTCCTCCCAGGGCGGCGCAGAGTGGTGACGTCACGGGCCGGGTTTTTGGCGCGCCGGCCCCCCCGCTCCGCACACCTCGTACGGAGTCTCGTTCTGTTTCGTGCCCAGCTCCCCATACTATCCTATTCCAAATGCCTCCTTGTCTCCCCGCTTGAAAGCACGCACGCAAGGTCCTTTATTTATCCCAGGAATTAGGGCAGAAGACACAATTCGACCCCGCGGGTCGGCGTGTAGAAGCAGGCACTATCCCGGACAGCTACACTTCCAGAAGGTTCGAGGCGGTGCACAGGTCCAGAAGGAGAGGGAGTAGGCATGAGCGAGCGAAGGACCGGGGTCACGAGGCCGTTGCGGGGGAGGAGCCAGCGGCCGGGGAGTTTCTAGTCTGTTCTGGCTCGCGGCAGCCGCCCACTTGTACTCGGTCACGTTGAGCTGCGCCCGGGCCTGACGTAGGGCCTCCGCCGCCGCCCACCGCCTGCAGCCTCCCGACCATGGATCCCCGCAAAGTGAGCGAGCTTCGGGCCTTCGTGAAGATGTGTAGGCAGGATCCGAGCGTCCTGCACACCGAGGAAATGCGCTTCCTGAGGGAGTGGGTGGAGAGGTGAGTCCTGGGCCCCGCGGACCGTTGGGGACGGGAAGAGGGGGGAGCTGGGCCGGAGCTGGCGTGGGGCGGAGCGGGGAGCGATTCTGGCTAGGACCCTTCGTGGATCGCTCCGTAGTGGCTTTGAGAGGTTGTCGGAGGGACCAGGAGCTTTGGATAATTTAGGGTTGGGAAGGTAGAAGCTAGAGCTGCGTCTCCCGTAATGAAGTCTCTAGGGGGTGTGTTTTAGGGGGAATAAATGGAGGTTGTGGGGATTTGGATACTGGGAATAATTTGAGAAACAAAACAAAGCTTTTATAGGGTTTTTTTTTTTTTTTTTTTGGAAACTGGCGTTTTAAATCGCATTGACCCATATATGGTTTTAAATGTTATGTAGATTAATAATTTCAGTTGCCTGAACTTGACCTTACAGCGATTTTAGTTGCACGGAATTGTGTTGGGAATCATTTATACCCACTCTTGTCACTTCAGACACTTTAGGACAATGATATTTTCAAAGACCAGCGTGTTTGCAGGACTAACTGGAGAGTATTTTCTCCTGCGTACGAGAAATTTTGTAAATAGGTTTTGTGCCAGCTGCTGAGAAACAGTGTTACCAGGGAATTGGTTTTCCTTTTTGTTGTTGTAGTCTGGTAGCTAAATATTTTTAAGATGATTAGAAGGAAGCTTGGGCACCATTAGAATTTGGGGGTGGGGGCGAACAGCAGTGCAGGAAAGCTGGGAATCTCTGCAATTCCAGGAGGAGGGACATGAAAAGAAGTCGTGCCTTCTGAATTAGGGTCAGGAATGGAAGCTTACAAAGCCACTGTAAAAATGGGAGAAGGCCTTAAGAAAAAGTGTGAGAATTCAGAGTGTCAGGTCGGACGTGTTCAGGACTTTGGCAAATAACCAGCGAAGAGATGGGAAAGATAAAGTTGCTCCCCCCACCCCAATTTGAACCCAGAAAGCCTGGCAGCCTTAGCCGTGAAGGTCTGAAAGCAGCTGTGTGGAGGGAAAAGCTTGTGAGCAGTATATGTGCTTTGTTTTGTTAAAGATAATTGTTGCATATTTTTGCATATCTTTAGATGAATCAGCTTTTCTGAGAGGTGGTTTTCTGGCCAGGTGATAGCAAGTCCAGTTGGATTAATTCTTTAGGGAGAGTCCAATTAATAATGTGTAATTTTTTTCTTTTTAAAATTCATATTTTTTAAGACTCACCATGTAGCTCAAGCTGTCTCAGAACTTGCCCTGTAGACCAGACTGGCCTCAAATGCACAAAGATCCCCGTCTCTGCCAAGAATTGGGATTAAAAAGCACTGGGATTAAAGACATTTGCCAAGAGCTATTGAATTTTTTAGTATATTTATGTGTATTGAGTGTTTTGCATGTATGTGTTCATGCCTGGTGCCAAGGGAGGTAAGAAGAGGATATTAGGTCCCTTGGAAGTGAAGTTATGCATGGTTGTAAGCTACTGTTGTGGGTGCTACCGTGGGTCCTCTGTAGGAGCAACAGGTACTCTTAATCACTGAGTCATCTCCCCAGCCCCAGTGTGTAATGTTTTGGGTGGTTTAGAATATAGTCTCCTCAGGGACAGGTGGAGCTCAGATTCTCCTCATTTCAGTAGGAGGAGGTGGCTCACTCTTAATGAGCCTCCACAAATCCCTAATACTCTCACCTAGGAAGGCCCTTTTATATGGTTAATAATTTTTTTAAAAGCTGTATTTGTTGTATGTATTTTGTTTGCACTTCAGTAAGTGCACTGCGTACATTTTAGTTAAGCCAGAATAGGTTATCCATTCCTTTAGAACTGTTGTCACAGGCAGTTGTGAACCACCATGTGGGTGCTGGGAAATGAACTTAGGTTCTCTGAAAGAACTGCAAGTACTCTTAACTGGTGAGCTGTAATCTCTCCAACCCTTCCATTATTTTAAATCCTACCAGAGGGCTAAGCTGATGCTTCTCTTTCCGTTGTTAACAAGGAAACAAGAGTTGGGGTCTTGAACAGGTTTCAAGCCTTCTAATACCAGTGTAGCTGCTGTTTAAGAGTACATAGATGAATGATACAAAATTTGTTTTGTTAATTACTTTCTAATAGTTTAGCGATCTGCATATTGCTGGAGAGCTTCCTCAGCTGTAAAAGGAGAGCTGCAAATCTTGCCCAGGAAGGGATTTTTTTTTTTTTTTTTTTTTTTTTTTTTTTTTTTTTTAATTAGAGCTGGTCGGTGGTGGTTGCATGCCTTTAGCCCGGCATGGGAGGCAGAGGCAGACCTGTCTCTGAGTTCCTGGCCAGCAGCTCTATAGGACAGCCAAGGCCACATACAGTAACTCTGGAAAAACAAAAACAAAAGCAAAATTCCAACAGGAGGTTTAGTGCTAGTTTCCAGCATACCCTTCCCCCCAGAAAAACAACCTGCCAGCAGGGAGTTAAGGGGAACAGTGGGCAACATGTGCCGAGGTCCCAGTTACTGTGGAGGTTGAAGCAGCAGCAGCAGCCCCGAGTCACAGCCGGATCCCAATAAAGACGAAATCTACCACCCCCAAAAGAATAAAACAAAACTCCTCACATTAAAATTGCATTTCAAGAAGGTGGATAGGCGCTCCTTTAAGACATGAGCAATAAACTGGTGAAGGAATTTTCTGTGGGGAAAATGGAAGTGGTGATTACTAAGAATGTAAAATATTTCTTTCAACAAACATAGTCTCAGGAAGCAAAAAAGAAAAAAAAAAAGAAACTGTTTTGCGTGGTGGCATTTTTCGCCTGTTGAGCTTGTTTTTATCCTTTTCTTTCTGCCAGTTTTGTAGCGGTTGTTGAATATGAAGAACTCTGAGAAACATTGTTCTAACAGCGGAGGAGACTCCTAGTCGGTAGGGCTAGTGGTGTGCTTGTGTAACATAGCTCTGAGCCTTGGTGCACACCCTTCAACGGTCCTGTGTTTTGAACTCTTTGCTTTCTCAAAAACGAAAATCCACACGTCCCATTAAGTATTTGTGAGGACTAGATTTCAGTGGCTTTTCCCTAAAGAATAGGAAATCATTATTGCTAATCCCAAAGCTTAAGACATTTCTTTTCTTTGTCCACTCATGTGTTGTTAAAGGAAGGATACCCAAATAAATTGTTACTAAAATTTTGGGTGAGGCTGGTTTACGCCCAGCACTTGAGAGGCAGAGGCAGGAGGATCTGAGTTCCAGGTCAGCCTGCTCTACACAGAAAAGCCCTGTCTCAAAAAGCCAAAAAAGCAAAAAAAAAAAAAAAAAAAAAAAATTTTTTTTAAGGTGAAGCAGACATACCAAAGGAAGAAATTGGAGCTGTTGTTTCCCCTCATTCCTCCTAGGGAGGGAGAAGGGATCCTCATTAAACTTGTTAACCTGGAGAAATTGTGCCTGTGTAGTGAATTCCAGATTACATTCAGCAGAATTCTAGTTATTAATTACTATTCCCCAAAATAGCATCTTTGTGAAAATAGTGAAACTTTTTGGGGTGCTTTAAGAGCCTTCAAAACTTAAATTGGGATGTTGATAATGAACTTGCTCTCTTTTTTAATTTTTTTAAATTAATTAAAATTAATTAATTAATTATTTTTTGAGACAGGATTTTACTATGTAGCCTTGGCTGTCCTGGAACTTGCTGTGTAGACCAAGCTGGCCTCAACTCAGAGATCTGTTTTGTCTCTGTTTCATGGGTTCTGGGATTAAAGGTGTATGCCACCATGCTTGGCTCTTTGTGTGGTTTTAAAAGATGTTAGACTAATGGATTCTTAGGTCAAATATATAGTTAGTCTGAACAATGGCAGCATTTAGAGCAAACTGTTTTCAACAGTTTAAACTTGGGCAGATAAGAAGAAAAAGAGAACTCTGAAATGGTTTCAGCTCTAGGAATGCTAATAACATGAGTATTCTTGGACGTAGAAGACTGTATTTAGTCCAGTCTGCAATGGCTGACAGAGATGCAAAGGAGAAAGAAATTGATACAAGCTCAATTAAAATTACATATATGAAAGTTTTTAGTGCTGAACCCAGAGCATGTACTCTACCAGTTTTGCCATGAGCCCACCCAAAAGTTTAATTTAGATTGAAAGAAAGATAGCATAGTGATAGAAATAAAGATAAGATAGTCTACATAGTGAGCTGCAGGCCAGCCAAGGCTTGTGAGACCTACTCTCCAAAAAGAAAGAAAATTAAAGAAGTAGAGCCAAATGTGAATTCACAATAGTGTGAATCCAGGTAATCAAACACATTTCGCAGTATCTCATGAAACATGGATTTTAGTAACTATTTAAAAGTGAGTAGAATGCATTTCTACCTCAATATAGAATTTAGAGTGTTAACACCCCACTGTTTGTATATGTGCTTAAATAATGATAGCACAAGGCAGATTGAAGGTTTAAATTTGAGAATTGTGAATGAGCCTTTGTGTGATCACATTTGAGGAAGGTTTCTTCCCCATCCTGCCTTATGGGTGATTAAAAAGAAAAACACAAACAGCAACAACAACAAAACCGAAACAAAACAAAAACCCTGTGCTGAAAATTTTTTTGGGAAGCTAGGTTATTCTGGGTTTTTGTTTGTTTGTTTTGTTGTTGTTTTTGTTTTTTCTAGACAAGGTTTCTCTGTGTAGTCTTGGCTGTCCTGGACTTGCTTTGTAGACTAGCCTGTTCTTGAACTCAGAGAAATCCACCTGCCCCTACCTTCCCAAGTGCTGGGATTATAGGCATGCCCCACCTGGCATGGCTGCTTACTCTGTTTTGAAACATTGAGAACATTGATCATTTAAAAATGGTTCGGACTTGGAATTGTGAACTACAATTTGGAATGTGAGAAACTTGGAAGTGCAGGCTATGAATGACTTCTGTGTTTAATTTTTTTATTTTGGAATACTTTCTGGTTCAGAGTTGATTGCTGATAGGCTGCCAACATGCTCAATCCAGTTAAGTGTTTCCTCCTAATCTATACAAGAACAGTGCAGCAGCCATCCAAGTCAGGCAACTAGTAAGGATGAGTTAATACCATACAACCCTTAGAATTGCAGGTTGCACCCTGTTGCCATGTTTTGTTTTCATTCTAAAAGTTTTCAGTTTTACCTTGGCTTTCATGACTTTGACAATTTGAGTATTACAAGCCAGTTATTTTAGCATTTCCCTCAATTTGGATTTGTCTGAGCTTTTCTTAGACTTTATTCCTTGGCAGGGCTGTCACTTCACAGGGCTAAACTGTTGGATCTGTGTTTGGATGTCACCTACATTCCTGACACTGCAGTTTGAAAGCGTAAGAAGCGCTGTGTCTTCATTAAAATTTAACTTGAGAGCCAGTATTTGGTTACTGTGTAAAGTAACAAGTCTTTTTGTTTGTTTGTTTTGGTTGGTTGGTGTCCCCCTCCCCCCCCCACCCCCCGAGGGTTCCTCTGTGTAACAGAGCCCTGCCTGTCCTAGACTTGCTTTTTAGACCAGGCTGACCTTGAACTCACAGACATTGCCTACCTCTGCATTCAGAGTGCTGGGATTAAAGGCTTAAAGATGTCCGATAACAGGACGGGCTTTCTGTTTATTTTTTAACTGTAGAAATGTTTGTTCTATATATGCTTGTTCTTTATTAAATCATTTTGTTTTACTGAATTAAAACATTTTGGCTCTTGTAATCTTTTGTAATGAAGGACCCACTATTGATACTGAGTCTTAGGAGGGTGTGGGTGTGGGCATGTGCATGTAATTAGAAAAACTGCGCATTTGTTCTTGAGTGAATGGTCCTTAAAAAGAAATGTCAAATGTGGTTGAATTTGGTGACAAACACACATCATAGAGGATGTAGGAAGATCAAAACCTTAAAGTCCTTAGGCTTTGTGGTAAGACCAAGCGCTGGAGAGATGGGTAGGCTCTTAGGACATTGGCTGCCTTCCAGAGTACACAGGCATAATTCCCAGCACCCATGCTGTTGCTTAGAACCTGTGTCATTCTAGTTCAAGGAACCTGGCACGCTCTTCTGCCTTCCAGGGAATCAGGCATGCGCTTAGTGCACATATGTACATGGAGACACACACAAAATAAAAATAAGTCTTTTTCACTAGAGTTAGACAGTTGTGAGCTGTCATGCCTTTGTGAGAATTGAGCCCAGAGCCCTTGTAAGAACAGCGAAGAATGGTCTTAACTGCTGAGCCATTTTTCCAGCAAATGGAGAAACCACCATCACCAAAAATCTCCACAAAGGCAAAAAAAAAATTTTTTTTCTTTTTCAGTTGTTACTTTAAATTTGAACTTCTGTTTCATGTTGGATATATTAAAAGATATTAAGGCATGCCACAGCTGAGAGAAGATATTTGCAATACAGGAAACTTTTGGATAAACTAGGAAAGAATGCCCATGAGAAATACAATGTAATGAAAATCTCATAGAGAGTTGAACGTTACAAAGTAGCTTTTCAGATAGCCAAAATTGTATGAAAAGGGACTCAATGCAATGAAATGTTGCCACATACTCAGAAAGGCTGGCGATTTTGAGTGACTAATAACAAAGTCTGGGACTAACTGACTACAATTTTCATACATTGTTGGTAACTAGTATACATTGGTGTAAAGGACTTGGAAACTAGATGCCGGTCTAAATTCAATTTAGGGATATTCCTTACATGCAGATTGTGCCAGTGGAAAGAAATGTGAATGTGGGTAGCACAGCTCTAGTCATGAAAGGAATGATGGACTGGTAGGACTTGCTAACTGAACCTGAGTTCCATGCTGGGATCCCATTGTGGAAGAGAGCCGACTCCTTAACATTGTCCTCTCGCCTCCATGTGAGAACTCTTTGCACTTCGCACCACACACAAACAACAGTGACAAGATTTAAGGAAGATGGGCTGGAGAGATGGCTCAGCGGTTAAGAGCACTGGCTGCTTTTCAGAGGACCTGAATTTAATTCCCAGCCACCACATGGTGGCTCACAACCATATGTAATACGATCTGATGCCCTCTTCTGGTGTGCATGAAGACAGTGTACTCATACACATAAAACAAATAAATATATCTTAAAAAAAGATTTAAGGAAGGAATGACATTGGAAGCTGACAGAAATGACATTTTGTAGTACTTTTACATGTTAATAAATCCTTAAATTGCTTAGTTTTTGCTGGTTGGTTTTTACCCATCAGCCGCTTAGGAATTTTCCTATTGGCATATATAAATTTATTCTTTTTGTAGTCTTCTCCCCTTTGGAGTTTATATTGTTCCGGCCTATTTGGGAAGCAGGGCTTTGCAAAGACTCCAGTAACTCCTGCATGCTAGTCAGTCATTTTACCATGAGGCTCCTGACATATTCTTGCTAAATGTCAGCCTCAAATTCTGCCTTTCAGATATGTCCTACCTCCTATTTTCTAAGCTAATAGCTTAAGAATGATATATCATTTCGTACTTACTGACTTCTGCCTTTTGTTTTTCGTTTTAGAAGGGTACTGAGAGCTATAATACAAGTCTGTTAGGCTGTAAGAGTCAGGGGAAAGGTTTTATTAATTAGTGTGCTAAAACAATTTGAAGTTGACAAAGAACTTATACTTGTAAGCTTTGAAGGGGTATTGTAAACATTTAGTGTTTTTTAGGTTCATTGCGGCTTTTGTGAACTTACAGTGAATATTCTAAACAACTATCTTTTTTCTTATTTTAAGCATGGGGGGTAAAGTACCACCTGCTACTCATAAAGCTAAGTCAGAAGAAAATATCAAGGTAAGTTCAGATTTCTTTTGTTTATTTAAGGATAAGCTACTGTATTTTTCAGCAGTTTTTTTTTTTTTTTTAACTGCTGTTTACAAGTTCTATTACTCCTAATGTTTCTACTTGGAAGTATGATGTCTTAAATTTGTTGTCTTAGAAATTTTTCTTTTAGATTAAATCTGGAAGTTGATTTAAAACCAAGACTTTGGAGTTGGATGCCACTGTGTCAGAATAGTATCACTTGTGTTTTTTTTAAAAAGCCTGTAAATAGTAAACTCTCCCTTGTCTCTTTTAGTAGCACAAGGCGATAAATACGTCAGAGCATTCTTATCCTCCCTCTCTGCTCCCTGAGAGGAGATTGCTGAGGGGGAAGAGTATGAATCATGGTTTTGCTTTAGCTCGCTTGGCAAAATGACATGCAAGATCAGGTGGAGGTTGCCTATAGTTGAAGTTTGAGTACGAGGGGGAAAATTACACTCAGGACATAGTATTTAGTAGTTTTCATTTCTTTGGGGCTGAGAGTCCTCCCCACCCCAAGTTTTCTAATTATCTAAAATTGATGGGGAAATCTGTTTTACCTGGGACTCTAAATGTTTCCTTCATTTAATTTGTATAAGAAAATAAAAGTTATAATCCAGATGTCATGATAGATGCATATAATCTTGGCACTTGTGAAACAGAGACAAGTGGATCAAAAATTTTGGTCATCTTTGGCAACATAGTGTGCTTCAGGAGTAGTTTGGATTACCTAGTTAGACAACTCCCCCCTCCAAAAACGTAAAGGTTCACAAGATGGCTCAGTTGTTAAAACGCTTGTTGCACTTTTTACATGGGGGCCTGAGTTTGGATTTCCAACTCATTTTTTAAAAACCTGGGTGTTTGACAGTGGTGGCCCACACCTTTAATCCCAGCACAATCCCTACTTTGGGAACAGGCAGGTGGATCTCTTGAGTTTGAGGCCAGCCTGGTCTACAGAGCAAGTTTCAGGATAGCCAGGGCTATACAGAGGGACTCTGTCTTGTCAACCCTACCCCCACCGCCCCCAAAAATGGGTGTATTACTGTTGACCATGATCAAAAACAGCTTGTGGAAGAAAAGGTTTATATCAGCTGAAAGCGGATAGTCCATCAGGAAAGACACCAGGACAGGAGCTCAGGGTGGGGACCTGGAGGCAAAAGCAACAGTGCTTTTGCACTGCTTAGATGCAGCTCAGACCTGCCTCGTGACAGTACTTCCCACAGCTGGCTGGACCTCCTACATCAATTAGAATTCAGAAACTTTCACAGATAAGGTTGCAGGACTGTCTGGTCTGGAATTCAAGTGAGGCTTTCTAGTCCTTGGTGACCAGGTTTGTAAAGTTGACAAGTGAAGCTAACTATGACATTTTAATCATTGTTGACCTTGGTAACATGGTTTTAAACCGACCTATCCTTTCTTGTTTGTTCTCAGGATTTCACATTAATGTAAAATGTTAAAAGTCTTGCAGTTTTTAGTAATTCCAGTGCTTTAATAGTTGTGAAGCTGGTTGTGATGGCCATCCTTCTGGTGTTAACTTCTGTCCTAGTTTGCTTTCTGTTGCCAGAAGTATGGGTTTGTTGCTGTGATGGATCTGACCAAGTTAGTTTGGTGTCAGACTACAGATGAGTTTGGAACTTTGAGCTGGAAAAGCTGTTGAGTGTTTAGTATTGCATGAAAGCCAGGAAGACACGAATATTCGGTGTCAGGTCAGAAGCTTAAGACAGAATGGAGAATGTTGTTGGTAACTGACTCGGCTACTTTATATAGTATGTGTATAACATATATGCATGATAATGGCTCACTGTGTAAATCAGGAGACAATTGGGGAGGAGTGTTTAGTCAACATCGAGACAGGAGATTCCCAGAATAAGAACTGCAGCCAGATACGGGGGCCATGGAAATCATTTGAATATACAGTAACCATATGCCTACACCATCTTACCTTTTTTTTTTTCCCCCCCGAACAGGGTCTTTCTGAGTAGCCCTGGCTGACCTGAAATTTTTGTAAACGAACCTGGCCTGTTAATTCAAGATATCTGCAGACTGCTTTAAAATGCATATGCCAACCGCCCCTTGCCTGGTTTTTTAAGATTGAAACGGAGAAGGAAGCTAAAGTGCAGTGAAATTACTTTTCATCTGCTGACAGTTGGATGAGTAGGCATAGGTTGCCTGTAGTGGCACTTTCTCAAAGATGCACAGCCTCCTTAAACAGTGCCAGTTTATTTCTTACCGTCCTGTGTCAAGATTGACAAGACGCTACACAGTACTAGAGGGTGGAAAGGAAATTTGCTTTTCCATCATGTGCTCTTTTAAAATCTTTGTATTTTCTTTTTGTGTTACAATTCTGTAGACACTTTCTTTACAGTTCTCAAACTGAGCAGCTCTTGGAAACTGAAGTGTGCTGGGCATGGTGGTGCAAGCTTGTAATCTCAGCACTCTGGGAGGCAGAGGCAGGGTAAGCTCTGTGAGTTCAAGGCCAGCCTGGGCTACAGAGTGAGTCCAGGACAGCCAGGGCTACCCAGAGAAACAGTCTTGAAAAACAGACAAAAAAAAAATAACAACAACAATAATAAAAATACAGAAAACTGAAGTGTTGGCATTAAAACACACAATCTGGCTGGGCGTGGTGGGCATGCCTTTAATCTTACCACTTGGGAGGCAGAAGCAGTTGGATCTCTGAGCGAGAGGCCAGCCAGGGCTATATAGTGAGACCCTGTCTTAAAAAACAAGCAAGCAAACAAACAAAAAACAACTTGCAACCTTTCCCAGACTGATCTCAAACTCCTAGGCTCAAATGACTCTACTATCTTGTCTGTTTTCTGTCTTTTTACCATCAGTCACAAATAGTACTATTTATTTTGTGTGAAATACTACTTTTACAGGATAGCCAGGCTACACAGAGAAACCATCTCGAAAAAGGGAAAAAACCTTCACAGCCTAAAATCTAAAATGTCTTATTCTAAAGGTTTCAATAAGGTACTGGACCTGTAGTTACTAATTAATAATTAATTAGAAATGAGAAGTAAAAAAAGGGTGTTTAGCAACCGAAATATATTGTATTTGAATAAGGTATAAATTTGTGTGTGTGTTATATACATACGCTAACACATAAAACATGTTTTTAAGTACTCATAGCACCATTTCATTTTCTTCTGCTAGGAAGAAAAAAGAGATAATAAGACAGAGGAAAATACAAAGACGGATGAGCCGAGTGAGGAGAGTGATCTAGGTGAGCACGTGGCCATGCGCATTAGATAATGTTGACGACCCCCGTGTGGTCGTTATTTCTGGGTAGCAGTTTGTTTCTGATGTAGCCCAACATGACCTGGAACCGTATCACAAGAGGCAGTCCTCCTGCCTCAGCCTCCTGCGTCCAGGTTGCTGATTTTATTTACTGGTTTGGTTATAATATTGACTTACAGACTTTTCCTTTCATCGATAGTATGCCTGTGTTTTGTAGAGTTTGTCTGCACTTGATTTTTAAATCTAATTATATTAAAATGAAATAGTATTTTGTCATTAGCTACATTTACTGTATAATTTGTACTGTATGCATAAGTGTTTTTAAAAACATTTTGGTACATCTCTGGAAAAATTATTGGAATTTATTAATTTGGTTATGGGGAAGGTTGGGGGCGTTCAGAGGGATAATTTGGGAGTTGGCTCTCCACCACGTGGCGCTCGCCTTTGAAGCAAGCACTCCGCCCACTGAGTCACCTCTGACCCAGAGCATTCCGCTCACTCCACTTTACCAGCAAAGACTCAGGAGCCAGCTCTGAGCCTGCCAGCTCAGAGAAGCAGGGAAAGCGCCCAGCTGACCCTCCTCCTCATTCTGCAATCCTCCTCTTCCCATGCCATCTCAGACAACCTACTTCAGCCTGAATGCCCTCCCTTCTGTTTCTTGTGCATGTCTCCCCTCGTCCGCCCCCACTTCCTTTTACTCTCCTAATTAATAATTCTGTTCACTTCCTGTCAGCCAGTTGCTTGCTCTGCCTCTTGATGTATTGACTTTATTTAATCCTGTTTATAATAGTTAGAAAGCTCTTGGATTAAAGGTGTGTGATAGGGCTGAGTCACACAACTAAAACAGGTATTTCCGGTAAATAACACAATCTTAGAGGTCACAGTGTGATCAAATATCCTGCAAAACCCTAGTGAATTTTGGAGACTTACTAAATCAGTTGTGTGTTTTTATATAATACATTGTGCTCATACCAGCATTACCTTTACAGTAACTATCTGATTTGGACCGACAATTTAAGAAGTTCTAGTTTTTATTATGTTCTGAAGTTCGTATTCGATGTATACAGTTGTCTGCATCATGTGTGCCTATAAGCCACATGCATGCCTGGTGCTCTCAGTACCCAGAAGAGGATGTCAGATCCCTGGAACTGGAGTTAATGTGTGGTTGTGAGCTGTCACGTCGGTGTTGGGAATCAAATCTGTGTCCTGGAAGAACAGGCAGTGCTCCTAATCACTGAGTTCTTATTTGACCCAGCTAGTCCCAGATAATTGAGACAGACTTTAGTTTTATTCGACAGTTTTTTCATGCACAATAACTGAGCAATATTAATCTACTCTAGCCTTCTATGCTAATCTAACTACCTCCCAGCCAAAATCCTGAGATACTTGGCATTTCTAAGGCTTTCTCTGCTCTCTGGCTATTTTCTCATGAAGTCCATTGACCCTCTACTCATGGCTGAGTGACTCTTTACCCTCCCCTTGCTGGAAATGGAAATCTAGCTCTATTTTCTCTTCTTATTGGTTGATCAGCTTTATTGACAAATCAAAATAAATGGGGAGCAATGTTTACACAAACTTGAGAGAGAAGATTCTTAGAGTAAGCATTATAATGCCATCCCTGGGATTGCAACCAGATGTGGGGGCAGAGAAATCAGCATTTGAATAATACAAGGATAATCTTTACACAATGATTATTTTTAAGTGAATCAGAGTTCAGCTTCAACTAGCTTATAGTTAAACTAGCAACTAGTTCATTTTCTTTTTGAGGTGCTGTTTATCATACCTATAACCTTCATCATATTAAGCAAGTCATTACCCAATCTACACCCAGAGTACTTCATTTTATAGTTTCAAGTAAGTATTAATTTAGGTTTTAATTTCATCATTTTTGATTTTTGCAGAAATTGACAACGAAGGTGTAATTGAGCCAGACACTGATGCCCCCCAAGAAATGGGAGATGAAAATGCAGAGGTAAGTTTAGTGACTTATTTTAGGAAAGTTAAAGTTTCCTAGTGTTGGGATTATTTTATAACATGACTCCCAGGAACTGCGTGATAAATCTTCCTTTGGCTTATAGTATTTTGACACACTTTTTAATCTTAAAGTCTTTGCAAAATGATATTTTTAATTATCTCTCATTTTTCATTGTTGTTTTACTTGTTCATAAAATTTACAGGTTTGGCTAACCTGTAAAGTATTTCCCCTAAAGTTTTTACCTAAGTATATACCTACAATTAGAATTGCCTTTTTTTGAGACGATTTTTTTTTTTTCAAGACAGGGTTTCTCTGTGTATCTCTGGCTGTCCTGGAACTTGCTCTGTAAACCAGGCTGGCCTGAGAACTCAAGAGATCTGCTTATCTCTGCCTCCTGAGTTCTGAGAGTAAAAGTATGTGCCACCACACCTAGTTTAGAATTGTCTCTGTGTGTGTGTTCGTGTGTGTGTGTTCGTTCGTTTGGTTTTTTGAGACAGGGTTACTCTGTGTAGCCTTACCTGTCCTAGACTTACTTGGTAGACCAAACTAGCCTTGAACTCACATAGATCTGCCTACCTCTGCCTCTCCAAGTGTGGGGATCACAGGGGTGGGCCACCATGCCCGCCTATTAGAATTGTCTTTTGATGGAATATCTAGTGGCAAATTATTTTCCAAATGTTGTTGTCACAGGAGCCTCTCCTCAAAGAGGTGAAAACTGGTACTTGGGGAGGAGGTATAGAAAACAGTTTAAATTAACTAATGACTAGTGGGCTTCCAGAGGGCCACAGTGTGTCTTAAAATGTCTCATGGTGTCTGCTATGGAACGGTTGTTTATTAACAGTAATGTAATGACTGCAGCTTAAGAGGTCTGGATCTTCAGCACCTGGTGTCTTCAGGGTCATCTTTGCTGGTCTTTGTGAAGTAGTCTGTCCTTGGGGATTTTACTTTCCTGACTGTTTTGGTAATCAGTGGACATTTGCACAATCCTGTTCAGACATCTTCCCAGTTTTTCTTAAACTTTCTTTTTCTTTCTTATGTCTCTTCCCCCTCTTCACTTGTCTTTTTTTTGACAACGTTTCTTAGTTTGACTTGAAAATTTTACCCTTAGTTCCCCAAATGCCGCAAATACAGGTCTTGCCACTATGCCTAATTTATTTATTTATATATTTATTGTTTGTTTGTTTTTAAGAGGGTTTCTCTGTGTAGCCTGGACTCACTTTGCAGACCAAACTGGTGTCAAACTCACTCTCCTGTGTCTGCCTTTGCCTCCTGAGTGCTGGAATTAAAGGCTTGTGCCACTGCCCGGTTCACCATGCCCAAGTTTATGGGATGGAATCTAGGGCTTTGTGTGTGCTAGGCCAGCACTAAGCCAACCTGTATCTAAAGCCCCTCTTTGTAATTAATTTTTTTCTGAGTGTGTCTCATGCAGTCCAGACTGTCCTCAAACAAGGGACAGTGTCCTCAGTGCTGGTGTTTACAGGCTTATACTACCATGTCACATCTAAGACTTTGCCTTTGGTTGTGAATTTACTGAACAGAACCTTTCTTGAAGTTTGTTTCTACCAGTGCTGACATACTGTTTAGTATGTTTGGCCTTCTGGGCACTCTGTTGTTCTGCATGTCCTCTCTGTACTAATGTCAGTTTCTTCTACAGCTGTGTACTACCAAGTTTTGTTGTCTGGCAGGATAAGGACCCATAAAACTTGATAAATATTTTAGCTCTTCTTGGTGTCTTGTTTTTTTCAAATAAATTTTAGAATTAGATTGTTGTGGTCTCCTCGCCCAACATAGGTTATTCTTATTCATTGTCCCTGTTCTCTTTACACACACACACACACACACACACACACACACACACACACACACACACACAC